GCTTGCAGTAGAGACAGGCAAATATACAGGTAAGTCACCCGATAATTCATTGACAAACAGTGAGGCGGTTCACACATAATGCTAAACCAAACCATGGCTTAACATCAACAAGCAAGCTACTGAAGAGCAGATTGCAGCTGCTTTTATCCTTCCTGATCATTTTGCTGCTGCTCTGTGTCAAGCTACACCGTGGTTTGGCTTACAGTGTCATTTGAACTCAGGCTCATGGTTCGACTCTCTCCAGACAAACAATGATCTGCAACCAATATCGGCCCTATGGTTAACAGCTCATAGTTTATCTGAGGCAGCTGAACCGTGAGCCTGGGTTTGGACATAACAGGGCTGTTTGCCATTTCCAACTATCCCCCAAGGGTTCTTGTTTACTCAACACATTTTAGACAATCAGTCAGGGTTTTCTCTACTGCTGTATTAGCTTTTGGTGGCACAGTTATCACTCTCTACGGTTACCATGTGTAGAAGTTCAGACCTTCAGTCATCTGGGAGAAAATACACATCCTCCTAACATCAGCAAGTACAACCTTCAGGCCTAGAAATCCATTGAATTTGTGTTAAGTCTTTCTCCAGATACTGAAGGACGTTGTGACCAGAATAGAGGGACAGTCATGGGAACATGAATAATTATGTTAATTATAGATCCCCTTATCTCAAGCAGATGCCAAGCACTGAGACAGCAAAGGTCACTTGGGCCAATGGAGGCTGTTGTCAGCTAGGTGGTTTCTGTCACTTACTAATACATCATGCTGCATATATTTGAGAGACACAGCCTGTTTCAGCAAACGAGAGAGAAAGCAAGCTACTTTATGAACAGGAATAAATCTACAGATGACAAAACTGCTGCACTGTATCATTTAGCAGGTAGAGAGTGTTGAGGTATTTTGAACTTGGATATTAAACAATGCATCATCCAGAAAGAGGATTAATTTTATTTTACTTGTTTCCCTCTTTGTCAGGTGAATCTCTGAAGCTGGCTCACTGCAGGGGAACACGTACAATAGAAGGAGGCAGTAGAAAGCACTGCCCAATATATACAGGACCAGTGGCGTAGCGTGGGGGGTGCAGGGGGGGCCGGCCGCACCGGGCGCAACATCTGGGGTTAGGGCAAATCCACAGGTTAGGGGGCGCAAATCCACGGGTTAGGGGGCGCAAATTACTTGCCTTGCCCCGGGTGCTGACAACCCACGCTACACCACTGTACAGGACAGCTCAGGATAATATCAATTTTACAAACTTCAAAAATCAAGTTTGACCCAGGTAGCTTTCAGTCCTATGGTTTAATCTTTCTAAAATAAAGATTAAACCAGATGAATAAATAAATAGTGTTTTTCTTCTTATGGAAGAATGAAACAATAAGGTCAGGAAAAGGGGGGCATTATTTTATACTGCTATTGTGCTATAGGTAGCCAAATAAAAATCATGATGAGCTCCTGTTGTGGCACTTCATCATAAATCCCCTTCAAGCTGAGGAGGTAGTAAGTAATAAATGGTGCACATACTTTAAGCAGGAAGCATTTAACTAAAGGAACAGTAACTATTAAAGCCCAAACAGCATTTTGCATAATTGCTCTGTACAAGGTGGCATTGTGATTGCATTTTACTGCGAAGGAAAACACAATATCGTTATTAAATATGCCTTTTGCTTCTCAAAATACATTTCCACATAACTCCAGACATGGCACCTATACTACAAAAACAAAAACAAACCAACAGTTTTGCCTTTAAAAATATAATGTGACAAGTAGTTGTTATTGTTTCCCCTACTTCTGTGGAAAGCAATACCAGATGGAGCTCAGATATAGTTAATTACTTTTTCTTTGCTTTTACACGTTACATCAGTGTTTCCAGTAAAGTTTTTTTTTATTATCTCATTTTATAATGTATATAAAACAGAGAGAACAGTTATGACAACAGACAAAAAAATAAAAGCTGAAAAGCAAAACTATAAAATAGGCACGTAGAATGAGTAGTTGCACATGAGTTAAAATAACAAAGTCCAAGTAAAGGCTATCAACTTTATCAGGCTATCAACTATAGTTCATGTTAAATATGCCATGAATTATCAAAGGTTCATTATCAATTCCCTGTCCCTAACTTTACATGGTTAAAAATCCAATTTGATCAGCTGTTCTACTCAATAACATTTGTATCTGGTTGTTCCAACATATTTGTGCTTATTTTTTTAAAAGGAGAAGCAGCAGCAGCTATAGATCTGGGAGCAACATACACCTTTACATTTGGCTTTTAAAGAAGCTGCCAAGTATAAGATGGTGTGCCCCTGGGTAAATGCTATTTAAAGGCTACAGAGTTTGCTGCAGACGAAGCTGTCAGTATTAAAAAGAACAGTGCTCATCTCATCTCCCCAAGCATTAGCTGTGTACAGAGCTACTGAAGGGTTAAGAAAACATTGGGGCAGTGAAATCAAAAGGCGTGAGAAAGGGAAAGTGGTGATAGAGAAATAAACAGATGAGACATTTCATTGCAATTACCTCACAGTATTCTTTTTTAAAAAGCAACACTTTACTCTTCCTGTGCTGTATTACACAGGATTCCCCATCTGATTTAATGCATTTGTATTTTCATTTCAGAAAATTACTCTTGGGAAATCTTATGCATAGCCAATATTATGCAAGTTCCTTTTCTCCTGCCATTTTGGTTTGTTTTGGCTGAAGTCAGCAGAGGCCACTCTTTCTTTAGAAATACAGTGGTACCTCGCAAGACGAATGCCTCGCAAGACGGAAAACTCGCAAGACGAAAGGGTTTGTGGTTTTTTGAGTTGCTTCGCAAGACGAATTTCCCTATGGGCTTGCTTCGCAAGACGGAAACGTCTTGCAAGTTTGTTTCCTTTTTCTTAAAACCGTTAATACAGTTGCGACTTGACTTCGAGGAGCAACTCATAGCACTCGGTGTGTAGCCTTTTTTGAGGTTTTTGAAAACTTTGGTGATTTTTGAAGCTTTTCCAAAACTTTTCTGAAACCGTGCTTCGCAAGACGAAAAATTCGCAAGACGAAAAAACTCGCAGAACGAATTAATTTCGTCTTGCGAGGCACCACTGTAGCCTTTTATTCTTTGATGTGAGTGTACTAAGCAAACGTCCCAGAGAGGTCACTTTGGTGTTTCTAACATTGCAGTTTGACCTCACCCCCAGAGGCGCACTCCATTGTCTCTCAAGACAGACAGAGGCCGACAATAACTTTAGATTGAAAAAGAGAATGCCCAGAAAGATGGGGAACCAAGAAATGTTCAAAACTAAACCGTGTGGTGGAAACCATGCAAGATACTTTTGTTCGCAAAAGACACGGGACTAAATTTAAGAGTTAGAACACAACACATTAATGGTTCTGTTTTTACAGTTTGTTTTGTAGAGTTTTGCCCTGGGTGGATTTTGAAATACTTTGGGCTCATTCACACATAAATGTTAAGCCAAACCACAGCTAAGCATAAATGAGCAAGAGTGCTGGTGCGCATTGAGAAAACTGTGGCTGCTTTACTCCCCCACCTGCCCCCACCCTCAGATGCCCCCACACTACTAGAAATAGCCCCATGCTTTGAATTCATTGGGTCTGAATTCTGGTTCATGGTATGTTTCTCCCAGATGTCACAAGTCATTCTGGAAAAAAAGAATATATTCTAAAACCTCATATGGTTCATAAACAGGATTCTCATTTATTTTCCCCAAACCCCTGCCCCTTTTAGAAGGAAAAGAAGTGGACCCTACATGACTGCACCACAAAGTCCTTGCCACTGAACAAAGAAGCACACAGGCTTCTGCACCTTCGATAGCTGTACAGAAGAAGCAGTTTTGACAAGCATAGTTTGTCTTAAAGAGAAAAGTTGTGCCTCCCAGCATTTCTCTCTTCTGCATAATAGCAAGGTGTAGGAGCACTGTTTCACTTTCCTACTGGCCCCCTTAGAAGTATACCATCACAACAGCATGACTAATGCAATACACATAGCTGTTAAAATCAACACTAGATCTAGGTTCTTGTTGTTGTAGTTATTATTATTAAGATTTTTTTTTTCCTTTTCCCTCCTTCATATCCAAGGCACTCTACTTTCCAGTTGTCATTCAGGATGCACAAAGTAAATATATCCCAAGGGAAATAGTAATAATAATAATAATAATTTTAGCAAAACAACATGCAGATGTCATGTTTGGGTTTAAAGAAAGAGTACAGTTAGTGAACAGTGCCATCTGCAGGCCACTTCTCTGAATCAATAAATAACAGGCAAAAAACTCCACAATTTTCTATGTGCCACTGTCTTATGTACCACCTTAGCCATTCTTCCTCAAAAGGAACTACCAATTTGACCTCTCCTCACCTCTCAGTGACAATGTAGATGATGACTTTGATGGGCAGAACAGGCTCTTTCCCACTTTTAGTCATCTTGCATGTGCCCTTCATGTTACCTAAAATGTAATTGTACCGTTCTCCAATATGAATTTCTTGCTTAATTCAAAGAACAGATATTATTTCATTTCTAGATGGATTACGTAAAACAGAGGGGGGGCATATACAGGTGAGAGACTAAAGTAACACCTGAAGAACTGAAAACATTGTTGAATATTCTACCAGTGAGTAACAGGCATCCTAGACTACTTCACAGAGTTGAGCTACTGAGCACTATTTCCCCACTTCATGATGTCTGGCAACCACAATATGGAAGCAAACGACTTGGAACACGGTTTTTGTTTTCGTTTCAATAAGCCCCACAAAGTAGCCATCTTCATACTTCCTGAAATCCATGTGCAATAAAGCACAGAAATGGGAAATGGGGTCAATGATCCTATTCCAGGCCCCCACACGTTTTTAATCACTCTCCCCTCTCCACACACAGAACCTATACACATACAAAACTGCCCTTCTGCACACAAATTGAAAATAAATAATAATAAATAATCTAAATGCAATGTGCAGGTACAGAGCAAAACGAAAGTTGAAAGACAACAAATAAATGCAGTTCGGGGGGGGGGGTCTTCTTACCTGGCTAGATGATTCACAGTTGACTCCCTTGTCTCTCTCCCCCAGCGAAGGCTGATAGAAGCAAAGGGGAAATGCTGCAGAGGATCGGGCGTTTAGCTTCCGGTGCTGGTCTTACTGGGCTCTAAGCAGCCACAACAGCCTGGGTGGGAGGAAAAATGTGGGAGGAAAAATATGAATCCCTGTAGCCTTGGTGCCTAGATTAGAAACACAGGGCTAAACTCAACTCTCCAGCTGGAGAGAGCCCCCAGTAGTAGACTTTAAACTCACAAAGTCAAGCAGCACAGTGAAGCATTAGGAATGTAGGCTGTTAAACCTTTTGCATGGTTCACTAACCATCAACTGTAAACAAGGCTTGTTCCTGGTTTACAACTCGTAATTTGTCTGGGGAAACTAAGCCACAAGTGCAGGTTGAGCCATGGCTTCGCTCAGCAAAGCGACCAGCGAGAAACAAATCAGCCACAATCCCCTCCCCAGAAGCCTGCATTATCATCAGAGGCGCCAACCTGCGAGAGGAGTTTGGGATGGAGCCGATCATGGTATAATGCGCACGTCGGGAGGAGCCGGGGCAGAGTCAAATGCAGCAACAGGTGGTTTCAATGCGGCTGTTGCCACCACTGACAACCCTTGGCCTCCTCCACTTCCTGATTATTTCAGACATTAGGGAGCCCCAGCCCTCTCCCCTCCCAAAATATTGGGTGAGCAAAAGGGCTCAGCCCCTAGGAGTTGGCAGCCAATTCTCACTAAGCTGCTGTCAGGTGACACAAGGAGCCAACAGTGTATATTCTGGCACAATAACATTTTGCTTAGCTCTGCAGCTTAAACAACTTGTCTCCCTGTCCAGTGTTTGCTGCCCTCCCCTAAATAAAGTAAGAGCAAATCAATAAAAATACTTAACTGAGGTTCTGCCCCACCAACCCCCCGCCAACATGAAGCCGGGCTACGCCCATGGGTGTTTGGACCCATACCAGATATTTTAACTGCTTTTATTTTAATGAAACTGTTTGGCTGATGTGCTAATTGTTTTGTATTGTTGTATCATTTCATGTTGCTAGGTGCCCTGTGATCTCTTCTGGGAAGAAAGGAGGAATAAAACAATAAATAAATATTGCTGGGTTGCAACATTGTTGTCTGAATCACCCTAGAGACCAGCAAATTAGGAAATATTAAAGAAACATACAAAATCATATGTAGGGGGGTCCATTAGTTACTATTTTTAATCCCAATATGTTTACCAACAGTACTTTTCAAGGGTAGTTTTTTTTGCAGATAACATACATTCTGTTCACATAGTGTGTATTCATCCATAGTGCTGATGAATTATTCTCAGACACATGAGAGCAATTTAAAGCACAACCTTGGTATATATGATGGTTGTAATCCTCTGCATTTCACTTCTGATTGAAATTTACCCTTTTCTCTTTCTAGTGTCAATTGTAGCTTAATAATTATAACAGATTAAAAAAGCTAGTAATTTTAAATAGGAGTCAAGAAACATATCGCATCTAACCTTAAATATAACTTTTTTGTATTCATTTCCAAAAGAAAACAAAAACAAACATATTAGGTCATGGCAGATGAAGTGAAATGTTACTTGAGGGCAAGTTTCCAGCATGGTTAATGCTGGCCATAATAGTAGTGGAAGTCCCTTTTCAACTGTGCTCCAGCATCGCTGGCTGAAGGCAATGTCCTTCCTCCTACAGTTACAAAAATGAACTTGTGCAAATACTGGGAACATGAAAGAGAAAAGGGATGTTATAAAGAGTCAAGAATGGACACAGCAGAGATAGAGGTAGAAAATAACCCTGGGATAAGAATAAGATAGTAGAAGCATAAGGAATCCCTATTTCTGTCTGGGAATATGAGGCAATCCAAGGATGGCATGGGGAACACGCGAGTCCAAAGAAACTAGATGTGGCACAACATGAATAATAAGTGAACGACTGGGTGAAATACGTTGCTATTGTTTAGTCGTTTCTGACTCTTCGTGACCCCATGGACCAGAGCACGCCAGGCACTTCTGTCCTCCACTGCCTCCCGCAGTTTGGTCAAACTCATGCTGGTAGCTTCGACAACACTGTCCAACCATCTCGTCCTCTGTCGTCCCCTTCTCCTTGTGCCCTCAATCTTTCCCAACATCAGGGTCTTTTCCAGGGAGTCTTCTCTTCTCATGAGGTGGCCAAAGTATTGGAGACTCAGCTTCAGGATCTGTCTTTCCAGTGAGAACTCAGTGCTGATTTCCTTAAGAATGGATAGATTTGATCTTCTTGCAGTCCATGGGACTCTCAAGAGTCTCCTCCAGCACCATAATTCAAAAGCATCAATACAAGCCCCCCAAAAATAGAAACTGTGGAAATGACTCATTTGGTCAGAGATATAGGATTTAAATAGCTGGAGTGATATTAGGGAGATGAAGTAGGAAGATGGATGAAACAGTACTCCTCACAGTGGAGTAAAGAGAAAGCAGTAACACATTTCCATGGATGACATGACCCACTAGAAAGACATAAGAACTTAAGAAGAACCCTGCTAGTTCTGACCAAGGCCTCTCTGGCCCACCAATCTGTTCTCACAATGGTCAACTGGATTACAGGAAATCCACAAGCAGGACATGAGCACAATAGTACACTAAGGCTGTGCAATAAATCGCCATATTGATGAATACCGGTATTGAAATAACATCGTGATCGACAAGGCAATATACCAGTGAACCAAAGGTGAAGACTTCGGGGGTAGCTCAGCTGAACAATACTTTGCAGATACTTTTTACTGTGTTGAAAAGTATTTGCTATTCCAAAACCTTCCAACATTCAGCTTATTTTGATGACCCTAAGTTCTAGTATGGTGAGACAATTCTTTATCCCTATTCATTTTCAACACACCATGCATTATTTTATACATCTCTATCATGACACTGCCCTCCTGTTTTTTTATAAACTAAGAAAACTGAAAACATTGTAGCTTTCCACATAGGGGAGTTGCTCTGGCCCCTTGATCATTTTGGCTGTGTTTTTTCAGCTCTACAATATCCTTTTTCAGGTGCAGCAACCATAACTGTACATAGTATTCCAAATGTGGACACACCATAAATTTGTATAAAGGCATTAGAATATTGGCTTTTTTTATGATTCCCAACATGGATTCCACTACAGCTTCCACACACAGGGGTCAACATTTTGTTCAAGCTATCCACTGTGACCCAAATTTTTCTTTCCTTGTCAGTAACCTCCAGTTCCAGTTACTGGTGTTCAGAGGCATGCCACCTCTGATACATAGTCAGCATGGCTAATAACCATTGATAGCCTTATCCTCCATAAATTTGTTTAAATCCCTTTTAAAGCCATACAAATTGATGGACATTACCATATCTTGTTGTTTAACAGTGTGCTGTGTGACTATTTCCTTTTGTCTGTCCTGACTCTTCCAACATTCAGCTTTATTGGGTGACATGCGGAGTAATACTTCTGGAGCTTCTACCACCCTGAACAATTTGATGTCATCAGCAAATTTGGCCACTTCACTGTTCACCCCTAACTATAGATCATTTTTTAATTAGTTAAAAGGCACAGATCCTAATACAGACCCTACTTCTTAGAACACTGTGAGAATTGCCTATTTGTTCCTACTGTCTGCTGCCAGCTTGTTAACCAAGTGAGAGCTGGACCATAAAGAAGGCTGATCGCCGAAGAATTGATACTTTTGAATTATGGTGCTGGAGGAGACTCTTGAGAGTCTCATGGACTGCTAGAAGATCAAATCTATCCATTCTTAAGGAAAACAGCCCTGAGTGCTCACTGGAAGGACAGATCCTGAAGCTGAGGCTCCAATACTTTGGCCACCTCATGAGAAGAGAAGACTCCCTGGAAAAGACCCTGATGTTGGGAAAGATGGAGGGCACAAGGAGAAGGGGACAACAGAGGACGAGATGGTTGGACAGTGTTCTCGAAGCTACCAGCATGAGTTTTACCAAACTGCGGGAGGCAGTGGAAGACAGGAGTGCCTGGCGTGCTCTGGTCCATGGGGTCACGAAGAATCGAACACGACTAAACAACTAAACAACAACAACAACATGAAGACCTGTCCTCTTATCCCATGACTGCTACATTTACTCAGTAGCCTTCAGTGAGGAACTTCTATCAAAAACTATTTCAAAGCCCAGTACATAATGTGTCCTGGATCACCTCAAACCATACTCTCAAAGAACTCTGAAAGGTTAGACAGGACTTACCTTTGCAGAAGCGTGTTGCAAACCACAAATAGTTGGAGCCGCCCATAGGAAACTGTATCTGTAAACCACAAAGGCTTTTATTTACAAAGCCTTTTATTGTACTCTTGAGTTTCACAAATCTAGCTTCGTTTCCCCCATCAGATATAAACAAAAGCAAAAGCAAAAGAAGCGAATAAAGTATTGTTCCTATTAAGATGGTAGAATTTCAGAATCTACTATTTCCTTGTCAGTGTGCCCTCCAATTGGACTTCCTAGCATGCCAAACACTCAATGGCTAAAGAATCAAACCGCTGCCCTGTCTGCTTAATTGTCCAGCTTTAGCCAGGCAAGAATCTTTATGTAGCTGGTTTTTCACAATGTAAACTGCCCAGCTAATTCAGCAGAAGGCTACCAAGCAACAGCGGGGGCTTCACTGAATAGCACAGTAAGAAACCCATTGAAAGTGCCCTTTGCTATTGACTACATATGCCCTTTCCTGTAGGTGGCTCCAAAGTAGTAGCTTTAGGAGCATACTGAAGAGGCGGTGAGTCTCAAGATAGCACTAAGGGACACTTTGGTAAGAGCCCTTCATTAATGAGTTCACGTGGAGCAGATGCCGTTTACAAAGTCTCGACTAAAATGAAGGCCTTGAACTGCCTGAGGCACTTTCTCTGAAGAGTCAGTGCAGGGAGGATGATCGCTTCAGAGTGTTACTAGTTCTCAAACACTGAGAAATAAGCATAGATCTATCACTTAGTGGGGAATATGCTATAAAAGCATAAATGGGGAGAGGGGGACGTGTTGCATCTTTCTCATAAGTGAAAAACCGAGAGGCTTGAACCACAATTAGAAGACAAAGATTTAAAGAGACCCAAAGGAAATTCATCCCCTTCATAACGGCAGCGGATCACATTGAATATTGCTGGTTTTAACACACCCCAAAAGCACCCTGGGCTGTTCTTTCAAAACCTCTAAGATTAACCACTGTTGGGGGTTCTAAATGGACCACTGTCTCTACCATGAGCTTAAAACACATTCAAAGCACTGTTTTACCTTCAAAGAATGGTTTGTTAATGGTTGTGGGGAATTGTAGCTCTGTTAAGGGAACACCACAGAACCCAGAATTCTCTGTGGGAAAGATTGTGCTTCCAATGTACTTTGAAAGGTATAGTGGGTACTCAGCCATAATTCTCAAGCCTGTAGTTACATCAGTGATTTTGGGTGAGATTCTGCTGGATTTCTTATCATGCTGGATAAAGGAAACTAGTAGATGAATGACAAGACGTGAAAATGGGAGGTTCTGTATGGTGGTAATTCACCATGTAGAGTAGTTCCAGTGTGAATGAATTTAAAGCAGTAATTCACCACATGTTAGCTTTGTCATATGACTCAGACATATGTCCTGCAACCTGCAGAGGTAAGGTATCTTAGCAATGACCAGAGGAAGGGCCTTTTCAGTAGTGGTGTCCTTCCCAAGAAACCACCTCTTCTCTAAACTGAGGTAAGCACATAAAGTAACGTAATTTCAGCACTCGCTGAGAAACACTTTTATTCTTGGAGGCCTTTGCTAGCCATTAATACTAGTTAGATTCTACTAGTTACCTTCCAGTGACAAGGTAGATGCTATTTTATTCTGAATTTTATTGCATTTTTAGTTTAATTTTGATGTGAAGGGGGTATATAAATATTGCACTATATAAAATAAATATGTCTGTCTGCAGTTCGTGTGATTAGCATGAAAATCATTTTTCTAAGGAACTTTTACAAGCACACCAATATATTAAATCTAATCTGTTTAGATTTATATAGAACAAAAAATGTTCTCATTGGTCTTGTGGTAGAGCAAGAGGAATATATTCATATTTTCCCCCTCAATTGTCCAGCTAGAATCCTGGCCTTCAAAATATTACAAGTATTTCTTACATGCCATTTTTAAAAATAGTGTAATTTTTTTTAATCCCTCTTCCCTTAAACCTCAGGTGAAAGTGCTTAATAACTGTAAATATCGGATGGAAGAGAAACACTGTGTATTCAAGTGAGGCTTTGATGAGGTGTTAATGAAATACCACACCAAGAAACAAAATAAAAAGTTAAGCTCCCTTGCGTCTGATTTTGCTCCTAGAGCAGGTGCCACATTCTTACTGGTTTGATACCCGACATCAAAGTGCCATTGAGACTCCCTCCAGAGGGTAATGCTTCTGCTTGAGCCGATATGCTTAATAAGGCGTAACTAATTTCTTTCATGCCTTTTGATAACAGCAAACATGTATTCTCCAATTAAATATGCTTAGCATATTATAGAAGCTTGCATTGCAATCTGGGTGCTGCGCACCTCCATTTGAGTACCCCACCCCCACTGTAATGGAGCCCCATGTTTTGCCCCCATGGTGGCAGCATCAAGATGGGAAGCTGGTGGAGTTGCCAGCTGCTACTGTACCTTAGACTCAGCCAGGTGCTTTACTAGTTCTTGGGAAAGAGATTGATGAGAAAACACTTGACATCTGCATCTGGGCTGGAAAAACAAGTCCCAGCCAGGCTGTGTGAAACATGACTTACCTCTCAGCTGAATACTAGAAAGAACGAACGTATGTAGCCAGCTCTGCAGCAACTGCAATGGCCGCCTATTAGGCAATTCTAGTTTGTGAGCCTTACCTTTACATCTCTAGCAGCACTTTAGGAACTATCTTTGCCCTACTGGACCAGCCCCAGACATGGTGACTGAGGTGAAGGACAAGATGGCAGCCCCTCCCAATTTCACTGCTAGAAGCCAGTTGGAATGCTAATTGTATCTTCCCAAAACACTGGTGATGCAATAGCTTCCTCCATCACACCTGAAACAGCAGGCCAGATTAGCAGCCCAGGAGAAACCACTCAGCAACAGAAGGAAATGGCTGGGAGGCTCAGGATGAACACCTGAGGCTATTGCTGCTTGAGAATCTGATGCCTAAGCTGGTTGCTTCAGCATTCTGGCCCTGCTGCCTTGGATTCCTCTCCCACCATGCCAGCCCAAAACGGGGTGGTTCAGACCACACCTGGAATACTGTATCCAGTTCTGGGTGCCACAATTTAAGAAGGATATGGACAAGCTGGATTGGATGTGTGCAGAGGAGGACAACCCAGATGATCAAGGGTCTAGAAGCCAAGCCTTATGAGGAATGGTTGAGGGAGCTGAGTACATCTAGCCTGGGAAAGAGGAGACAGATTAGATGGTTGGACAGTGTCCTCAAAGCTACTAACATGAGTTTAACCAAACGCCAGGAGGCAGTGGAAGACAGGAGTGCCTGGCATGCTCTGGTCCATGGGGTCACGAAGAGACGGACACGACTAAACGACTAAACAACAACAATCATATCATAAGGGCTGTCACATGGACAAGCTTGTTTTCTCCTGCCCTGGAGGGTAGGACTTGAACCAATGGCTTCAAGTTACAAGAAAGGAAATTCCAACTAAACAGGGAGCAGACACCCTCGGGAGATTATGGACTCTCCTTCACTGGAGGCTTTTAAGCAGAGGTTGGATGGCCATCTGTCATGGATGCTTTGGTTGAGATTCCTGCATTGCAGGGTTGCTTCCAACTCTACAGCTCTATGGTTCTATGAGTTGTCAGTAGGCAAATGACTGCAATTTTATCTCTTTTCTCCCTCTCCATTGCAAATATGCTTGAAATAAAAGCTTGAGCTCTTTGTGAAGGAAAAGGTCTGGAATAATTATAGTATTTAACTTCAGATATAAAGTGTCTACTTTGAGAATGCAGCAAACAAAAGAGATTAGCTGTTCTCATACAGAATTCTTCTCTGAATGCTAATTTCCACTTGAACTGATACTATAAAGGTGCTGGACTGTTTTTTTAAAAAAAAAATTAGCAAGAATTAACTTGAAAAGCCTCGTTCATATCAACTTTTTGTATTAAAAGAAAATATATCAAGAAGGAATGCCTAAGGATTACCAATCAGACAATCATATATATTGTAAGTGACTGATAAAACAGATCTGTCATTAAGATAAAGCAATTAGAGAATTAACTACCCATCATATCACTTCACCTTTCTGTCTGACAGTTCAGGAATCATTGCATCTTCTTTTTTTACATGTTTTTTGTAGTTTTTCCTGATGAAGAGCATTGTCTCAATGCATTGGGATTTCAATGCTTTGTGAATAAATGATTAATTAGATATGCCCATAACTAGATTCCCCCCCCCCCGTCTACTGTTTAGTGTTTTCAGATAGCAGTTTTTAAACCTTTTTAATCTACCAAATATAAGTAAAGGAAAGTCATGGGATTCACTAGAGCAAGTTAAAGTTTTCCTAATAGTGAACATTTGCAGAGAATCTAGCAATTAGAAGGCATATATATATATATATATATATATATATATATATATATATATCTTCAGAGCTATGCTCTATACATATCCCAGATGTTTCAGATAAGATTAAATAATAGTTTGATTCTAAAGTTGTTTTCTTATAATTTTTCTGTATTTAAATCAACTAAAATACTTTGTCACAGAACAGCCCAAACATAGTGTGCCAAACAGCGCAGTTGGTAGAGCATGGGACTCTTAATCTCGGGGTCATGGGTTTGAGCAAAACGTTCCTGCATTGCAAGGGGTTGGACTAGATGACCCTCATGGTCCCTTCCAACTCCACAATTCTACGAAACTATGAATACAAATAATGCACCATGATAATGAAACTCGGTGCCAGGCACTCCATGATATTCTAAAAGTGGAAGGAAATGTGATCGGGATCTACCAGTAGCTCTCTGAGTAATTTGCAGTAGATTGGCAAAGATTTGGCAGCCCCATGCAATTTGCAATGCACACATACACACAGTTCTCACTTTCTCAATTGTAATTAAAGGATTGCCACAGAAGCTTCTACAATTATGCATATAGTTTCAGACACTGCTTTTTTTCTAAAAAAAATGTTTAGGGGTACTCTCGTTTTCCTACTCATATTGAAATACTACCCCTCCTCAATGAGGCAGAACTTAGATTCACAAAATGTTTAGGGGTATGTGTACCCCTGCGTCCCCCAGAAAAAAGCACTGATTCCAGGGTAATCTATGCCTGTAAATATCAAGGACTGGGGAACCATAGTGGGAATGAGTGTAGCCAGGATTGGGGGGGGGCAGAACCTATGTGATTGGTCAGTTAGTTATTTCTATTGATTTACTTGCTCTGGGGTGCAACTGCCCCCACCTACCCTTGGCTACGCCCATGGAAACACATCCTGCTATAGGGCTTCCCATAGGCTTTTGGTTGGCTCTTATGGGAAACAAAATGCTGGACTAGTGCTGGGCCTTTGGTCTGACCCAGTGGGCTCTTCTTCCCTTGTGTTAAAATTATTTTTTGAGCAAGCTGAGGTTTTAACTTGGGTGGGTGCTCTTTTATCTGGAGGGTGGGGTTGTTTTAAATTGTTGTAAAATATCATATACTCATCAGGATTTTTGGATTTGTGGGCTGGAGTATTGTTTAGGGGCTTTCGTTGAGGAACATATGGTTTATTAGTGTGTATACACATAAGCATTGTTAATTGTTTTGCTTATTTTTATTATGTATTTTGTGCTTCGTATATTGCAACTTTTGTGTTGTGAACCACCCTGAGACCTACAGGTGTGGGTGGTAGACAAATTGAATACATAATAAAAAATAAAATAATAATCTTACATTTTCACTTGATGGTACAAGTAGATTATACACTCCCCTCAGCTGCAAAAAGCTCTTAGTACAGTAAACTCAGCTGCAATATGCCTCCCATTCAATTATAGTTAAAAGTGAATACTCACAATCCCAGCTCCCTCAGAGACGTCTGTACCAAAAATGCAGAACAGGGAGGCAAAAACAAACAAGTTGTTCCGGCTTTGCCAAGGACTTTTCCCATAACCGAACCTGCTCTGCTCGACTTAGCACAACCTCCGACAGTGAATCAACGTGTGGAACTAAAGGGAGAGAGTCGAGAAATCAGACGGGAGGAGGAAGTGCGTGACAAACAAACAGGAAAGACACAGAAGGGCAAGAGAAAGCTTGTTTATCTGGCAGAAATAAAAGATTTTGCTGACTCTGGACACTTCAGTAATAGCAAACTGTTTTTGAAAGGAATACCAGCAATGAAAAAAGGGGGTGGGCTTCTTGCTACTGAGTGCTGAACTTGTTTGTAGCAGCCTGCTTGTAGGAGTTGCTTACACATCTTGTGATTCTCTCCGAGTAGCTCGTTGTGGAAATAGAACAACATGAAGGGCTAGTAGCGTCTGAACTACACAACACAGCCACAATTAAGTGTTTGACTGTTGCAGCCTGCTGCAATTTCTGTTGGCCCATAATTCCCCCATCCCAGAACCTAGGGAATAGTTTCACCCTCACCAAGCTACAGTTCCCACAAACTACAGTTCTCATGATTCTTTGAGAAAAGTCATGTGCTTTAACAGTTCTTTGGGTGTACATGTGTGTGTGTGTGTATAGTGTGTGGATATTATATATATATATTATATATATTATATTATATTATATTATATATATATAGAGAGAGATATATATTATATATATAGATATATAGATATATAGATATTTATATATATATATATATATATATATATATATACACACACACACACACACACACACACACACACATATATACACACTACTATACTATACTATACTATACTATACTATACTATACTAATGTATGTATGTATATGTATATACATATAGGGTGTGTGTGTGGGTGTGTGGGTGTGTGGATGTGCTACATGTGACATTTTTCTAGACATTACTGAAGCACATGAAGGGACATTTTGAGTTAGTGGCAGCTGTGGGTCCCCTTTAACACCTAGTTAGGCCAGCAGTTTGAAGAAATACCTGTGGAGCTCTTTGCAGTCTGCTTAGGATTTATTTGCAGTACTGCAGGAGTTACAGTTTTTTCTTCTAAATAAATCTTTTCTTTTTATTTGTCCCTTGGTTTTTGAAAAGCATTTGTGATCCAGAAGCCTGAAGTCCACTTGACACACATTGCAGAAGAGGATTGAATGTTGTGTCAGAAAACAGCATGAATTAAATAGGAGGTGCATTCATACATCTTTTTTTTCTGTTTAAATTCCCTAGGAACTTATTGGAGAAAGCACACAATACAGTAAAATGCTGTAGACACGAGCAACAATGCAAAGGAAGATCAGTTGCTAATACGTACTAGTGACTAGATGTACTAGTTGCTCATAAATACTTTCCATATCACTGTCATTTAATTACACAAACAAAATTCTACCTTGCTGTAATCATCATGCCTCCTATTTAGTAAAGTGTACTGGGCACCAGAATGGAAGAAGGAACCAGAATGGGATGGGGTAGCAGAAAGAATGAACCCTGCAGTATGCTGGAGAATCATTATTATTATTAAATATATAATAAACTTGCTTGTGTGTTGCATGTGAGTGCAGATGTTGCTTGTCACTGTCAACACTGGATTGCTTTTGTCAGGAGCTGCTGGGGTCTGTGGACAGCAGTCCCATGTCATAAACCACTAAGTTCTGTGACCTGGTGAAGGACAGATAATAAATGTAATAATAATAGCAACAACAACAACAACTTCAGGTGGGAGCTTCTCAAGTCCTGGACTGACCCTGTCCACACCAGTTGGCCACTGGCTCCTCCTAGACTGGAAGTAGTACAAGAGGATTGCAGTTAATCCTTCCTTGAGCAACAAAGTTGTCCTCTGATGTGTTCCTTGGTTGCTTTTCAGGCCTAACATCTGGCTTGCTCCTGCTTCCTGGTTTGTCCTTTGGTTCTTAGTTCCTCTTCATTCCTGACTACTGGCTTGTCCCAGGGCTCCAAGTTCCCATCTCATCTCAAACCTGCTACCCATCTTTCAGCTCTGACAGCTGCTACCAAAGTGCTTAGGTTCAGGGGGCCCTCTGTGTTCTTATTTATTATTTAAATAATAAAGACACAGTATTGTAAGGTAGCGGGGGGGGGATGTTTATGAGCTCCATTCAGCTTTATGGTGCTTTTGTCTCAGATACACAAACAACAGCCAAATTATGTGTGTACCAGGATATGCCTCTACATATACTTTGTGGCATGAAGATTTATTCTCCAGGAGTTTGGCAGAACTCAAAATCTCACTTGGATGAATTAATGTTAAAAAAACCATGTAAGAAAGAGTTTGTTTACCTTGCTGTTTATTTTTAAGATTTGACATGTTCTGTAAGGACAGTACCTGGTAGCTATTCTCATAACTAATCCATTTTATATTTTACTTCCATATGAATTTTTATAATAAGGTAATGTGCAATCTACAGTGTAATTTTTCTGCAGCAAATATATTTCTCCAATTATCACCTAACGCTTTGGGTGGCATGTTAAATGTAAGCATTTTTCACATGAGGTTTCTTGAAAAATGTTAAAACATTAACTGCAATACCAAGAAAATCCACTAGATGAAGTACTCCCATCCTCAGATGCACAGAATACAGTAATTGGTGCAGTTGTATTCATGCTTTATGTTTAGCTTCTTAGTTATATAGCTATTGTAAAATCACAGAAACACCTTGGGAATCATATTTGAAACTACATTCTTCTGCATTTAAGATATGTTAACCGATCTACATCTCATAGGTTTAACAGAAATCTGAAAGCCAATGAAAAAGCTTCCTGAACATATAAGCTACTTTGTTTATTTATTTTTAAGCAGATGGCAAGACACAAAAAGCCTTTTCTATAAAAATTACTCCCCTTTTTAACTATCTCAAATTTATTTACAGAAAATAAATGTCAAGCTTCTACTGTGAATAACTTTGTGATTAGAAAAGGAGGACACTGGTATTATGTTAGTTTCAACCTTGACAGCCACTGTTTGGAAGAATGTACAACAGCTGTTTTCTAACAAAGGCTATAGAGGCTAGGATTGTTAAATAACATGTGGAGATGTTACCTTTAGCTTGAAAGGCCTAAAATGTACTCTGGAAACACTATTTAGAAATCAACGTTTTTCAGTATACACCTAATAAAAGGTGTCTGCCAAAGTATAGATACTAAGAGTATGAAGACACAGCACCACAGTGGCCAAAGTACTGCCGCATGCCATCATCCAGTACCACCCTGGTAGACCCTGCCCCCTGCTTACCAGATGTTGTGCAGAGGCTGGCAGCAATGGCAGGGATGGGTGGGGGTGCTGAAAGCAACATAGCACTAGCCACTCTGTATCTCAGTGTTGTGAAAAAAAGTACCAAGTGGGGTGATTACTGCCACTGCCATCATAAGAGAGCTGCTGGATCAGATCAAATGCTGGGCAGCATTCTGCTCTCACAGGCTGCTAGCATGTGAATCCCAGGGGGTTGGCCCAAGGGTTAGCCATCTCTGATGTATAGGACCTTTCCCACATTATTTGGTGGGAAATTAGAGGCCATAGCTTTCAGAATTTGAGCTCATGAGTCAGAAGACAGTGTGGGAGACAGAAACTAGAAAGAATTGAAAAGGAGCCAGAATGAATCAGAAGGAAGCAGGGTTTACTTATCAGATATCCCAGGCATTTCTGTTTTGACATTTCAGAACTGATGTTAGAGAAAAGCAAATTTGTCCTTGGGCTGGGTTATTTTTCCAAATCTATCTATGTCATCCTTTTACACAATTAGTTTTATGGGATGCTTTATATGTAGTTTGGAATTATACATGAAGGCTGCAAACTTAAACATACTTACCTAGAAATAAATTCCATTGAATTCAGTGGACTTGCTTCTGAATATACAGTACGTGCCTAGCACTGGGTTGCACTGGTGGTATTTCTGGGTGAGTTAGCTGTTTGTACAATCTGGCATTTTTAATAACACATCATTTGAGGAAGTTCCCTGGACTTTCTTTAATTATTGTTTACAGGTAGCATCTTGTCTGATTGTAGTGTTTTAAAAAATCAACTGGAGTTTATTTGAAACTGCTAGCAATTTATGAACATGCTTACTTGGTGCATGTCACAGAGAGTGAATGAAGTCAGTCTGTGTGTGGTAAATTGGTCTAAGTTATGTCCACTTGGTTTTTATGGGCAGAAGCAGGATCAGTCTGAGGGATGTAGGGATGGCATGGTGGTCTACCAGGATTCTATTGCCCTGACCAGTCCATTCACCTTGTGCCATGTTGTGAGTGTGGTTTTCTGAAATTACAGTAGGTGCTTAGAACAGGATAGGGATTCTGTTAGCATAGCATCTGTCCCATTTTTCAACAGTCTCCATGCATGAGGTAGCTTAGTGGTTTGGGTAGGGGGTGTTGGAGTTCCCCCAAACTAGTTGTCACATAATTTTCATAAGTAACAGCCTAACTACATGTGATGCTAAATGCATAGTTGGCAATCACATCGGTGGTTTTTGCTTATTTAATGAAGATGGAGCCAATTTTCATAAGGCTCCCAGCATGCAGGGAAAGGAGTTACAATGGTACCTCGGATTAAGTACTTAATTTGTTCCGGAGGTCCGTTCTTAACCTGAAACTGTTCTTAACCTGAAGCACCACTTTAGCTAATGGGGCCTCCTGCTGCTGCCGTGCTGCCGGAGCATGATTTCTGTTCTCATCCTGAAGCAAAGTTCTTAACCTGAGGTAATATTTCTGGGCTAGTCTGTAACCTGAAGCATATGTAACCTGAGGTACCACTGTACTGTATATTCCTTGCAAGCCAAACAAATTAAATAAGTCAGTGGGTGCTTTCCCCTCACCCAGAACCCATAGCTAATTGCAGCATGGGTCAGGGGAATTTTCATGAGGACTGCAACAAGGGAGAGAAGTGTTACTATTTTAAAAGACAAACTATGTGCTGTATTGCATTAATCTTGCTTTAGTAAGAATTAGATTTTAAAGTGAACTTTTGTTACAAGCTGCATGGATTTCTACTATTTGTTAGATTTGAGCGTATAGTGTATTTTATATTTAATAATGGTATTACTGTAGTGCATTGTATCTTTTATACCAGAGCTTCATGAGACAATGGACTCAGCCCAGAGATAATTGAATTCATCTAGGGCCAAGATGAAAAGAACATGACGAGTGCCCTGTATCCATGGCAAGTTTGGGCTTGAGTTTCTTTAACAAACAGCT